ACATATACAGAGTTAATGCAATCACAAATTTAAATAAAGTGTCAACTATATACAGTGCTGTGCAAAAGTGTTAGGCAGTTGTGCAAAAATGCTATAAATTAAAAATGCTTTCAGAAATAGAAATGTTAATAGTTTATTTTTCTCAAGTAACAAAATGGAAAATAAATGAACAGAAGAGAAATCCACATCAATATTTGCGGTGACCACCCTTTGCCTTCAAAACAGGATCAATTCTTACACTTGCACAAAGTCAGTGATTTTGTAGGATTAGAGTCAGGTGTATGTTTAAACATTATACCAAGCAAGTGCTAATGATCATCAATTTTATACGTAGGTTGAAATACAGTCATTAACTGAAACAGAAACAGCTATGTAGGAGGCTTTAAACTGGGTGAGGAGCAGCCAAACTCTTTTGTGAGGTTGTGGAAGACAGCTTCATGACAGCGGTCATACACCATGGCAAAACAGCATAGGAACAAGACAAAAGACAGATATACTGCATCAGCAAGGTCTCTCCCAGGCAAAAATTTCAAAGCAGCCGGGAGTTTCAAGATGTTCTGTTCAAGCCCCTTTGAAAAAGCACAAAAAACGGGCAACGTTGAGGACCATAGATGCAGTGGTCAAGGAAACTTAATGCAGCAGATGAAAGACACATCATGCTTACTTCCCTTCAACATTGGAAGATGTCCAGCTGTGCCATCAGCACAGAACTGGTGAAAACCAGTGGGACCCAGGTACACCCATGTACTGACTGGAGAGGTCTGGCCAGAAGTGGTCTTCATGAAAGAATTGTGGCCAAAAAGCCATATCTCTGACAAGGCTAAGTGTCTCAACTATGCATGAAAACATAGGAACTGGGGTGAAAGAAAAATAGCATCAGGTGCTCTGGACCGATGAGTCAAAATTTGAAATATTTGGTTGTAGCAGGAGGCAGTTTGTTTGCCAAAGGGCTAGAGAGCTGTAAAATAATGAGTGTCTGTAGGCAACAGTGAAGTATGATGGAGGTTCCTTGCAAGTTTGGGGCTGTATTTCTGCAAATGGAGTTGGTGAGGATCAATGGTGTCCTTAATGCTGAGAAATGCAGGCAGGTAATTATCTGTCATTCCAGGGAAGTGTGTAATTGGTCCCAAATTTATTCTATAGTAGGACAACAACCCTAAACATATAGCCTTCATCAAAATATTGTACATAGGACTGCAGAAGCTAAGTTTGCACAATATTTTTGATCCACCTAATATCAAACAGCCTCTTATTAGAACAAATAAAATAAAATAAACCAAAACATAATACAACACAGGAATAGACCTGTGAATTGTGGTTTTATTCCAGTTAGAAACTGTCCTACAAATTCAGGTCTTGTCTGAGAATGACAATGCCCTTGGCAAGCCACAGAAGCTAAAACTAAGGAAAATTTCTTCTTATGGAGAACAATTAACCAGTGGAATAGCTTGCCTTCAAAGTTGTGGTTGCTTCATCAATGGAGGCTTTTAAGAAGAGACTTGACAGCCAATGGTCTGGAATGGTATAGGGTCTCCTGCTTGAGTAGGGGGTGGGATTAAAAGACCTCCAAGGGCTCTTCCAACTCTATTATTCTGTATTAGGTTCATGAAATAAAAATGTTAATGGAAGAGCAGAAACCAAAATGTTAATGGTACCATTAAGTAACCATGATAACACCTTATTTCTGGGGTCTCTTAAGAAATGCCATGGCCATTTGGCTATCAGTTGACAAAAATCAAATTTGCAAGAATAGTTCAACAAACACAATAGGAGAAAGTGGCAGTTCAGCTCCATAGTGTGTCAAATGATTTTTCATACTGTTTCCTTTGGTACAGTTTTAAACACAAGTGGAAATCAGGATAGCCTTTCAGAGCAAAAGCTATTATGCACTCCTTTTTTTATCATGCCAACCATGCAATAGAATGCTACTTCAATGCTCTATAATTAGGTATTAAAACTCCATATAACTAGAAGCACTCTTGGCCAAAAGGAACCACTGTAGATAATTTCAGGTGATTTGAATTAATTTTTCCAGCCAAAACAAAAAATATTTAAAATTGATAGATCAGATAAAATGCTGTTAATTTATTCCATTGATCATTTGAAAGTGATAGAGATTAATACGTAGCTTTTCAATGTTTCATACTTTCTCTTCTTGAAAGAACTTTTGATGTATTAAAAATTTGATAAACATATTTAAAAACTGAAAATAAAAACTTTTATCAGTCTTTCCCAATCTGGTACTTTTCCAACTCCCAGAATTGTTGTCCATGCTGCTGGAATTCTGGAAATTTAAATGCCAAAATGTAAAGAAAATGCCTGAAAGACTGGGACACTTAAACAAACAAACATAACTCAGTATAAATAAATGTTTTACTAAGATCTTCCATATATAATCCATAAGCAAAGTTTTCAATGCAAGCTGTATTGGAGAAAAATAAAAACAGAGCTCTGTTCTTGCTCAGTCCCCATTCATGTTACAGGTTTTATGCAGTGGTGGGACCTCCAAGGTGCTTGACCACTTGATATTTTCACTTAGCAATTAATAAGAATTACTTAAATAAAACTAGCACTATTTGTCTAACTTGCAAAAAAAAAAAAACCAAAACCCTCACAATCCTGGTCCAAATATTCTGATCAGTCTTCTCCCACAGCAATTTTACAACATCTGTGGTGTAAGAATTACCACAAGCTCTACTGTGATCATGCAGGCTAGGACTGAAATTATTTTTCAACTTGTGGTGGTGGTGTTGTTATAGTAATTCCCCTCATCTATTCTTTTTTTTTTTTATTTGATTTATATGCCGCCCTTCTCCGGAGACTCAGGGTGGCTTACAATGCGTTAAGCAATAAGCAATAGCCTTCATACTTTTGTATATTTATACAAAGTCAGCTTATTGCCCCCACAAACTGGGTCCTCATTTCACCTACCTTAGAAAGGATGGAAGGCTGAGTCAACCTTGAGCCTGGTGAGATTCGAACTTACAGTAATTGCAGACAGCTGGTGTTAATCACAATGCTTTTAGTCTGCTGAGCCACCAGGCCCGTTTAACTGTCATTTTCATATGACAGTTAAAAGTTACTATGCAAATAGTTTAGGACTGGTATAATTTTCTTCTGTTTAAATAAAGTCTGCCATCAATCTACTCCCAACATACTTCAATAAGACTTATAATTAGGGTATGGTTGGTGCTCTGACAGTATGCCATATCATTAAGAAAGAAGAGCAGGATAAGAGCCAGACAGAATTGGCTTCATGGAGCAGTACTTGGTGGAAGCATTTCACCCAGCCATTTCATAACTCAGCATCTGTAGATTTGCTGTCTTGACTGCTGAATGCAGCTTTACTGGTTTTACATAAGAAAATAAAGGACAAAGCAGAATCAAGTATATAGAGAAGTACATGGAAACTATCTGGGCCAATAATCAGAGCTCATCAGTTCTGGTTATGTTTGGATCAAAGTTTTGATTAAGATACTTGTGTGTATTTACTTGTAAGTAGTCAATCACCAGATATTCTCCATGACTGCCCAATAATGTGTATCCATGTGTCTGTCCTGACTACTCTGTATTCAATTTCCTAAAAACTGTGGCCATTTGTTTGGATCTACTCTGTTTATTGTACCTTGGATGTCAAGAAGGACAATATTTCAAACCTCAAGATGGACTGGATTAAGACTCTGTCTATTCAGTTTGATTGTATCTGTTGTGGCCTGCCGGCCGCCAACCCCTCCAGTGAATCAGATGAGGAGGAGGCATGGGAGTCAGGGTCAGCATCAAGGAAATCTGAGAGCTCCAAAGGGGAACAGAGAATGGAAGTGGCAGAGAGAGAGAGACAGAGATGGAGCCTGGGCTGTCCATTAACCTTCCGATGAAGAGTCAACAGCCTGGTCTGGAGGTGATTGATGAAGAAAAGCTGGGTCCAGTGCCTGACATGCAGATGTGCAGAAGGCAGAGGAGAGGAGAACAGTGGAAATCCGTGGGCCAATCCTTGGGAAGGAAGAGCCACCACTGCTAGCAAAGGCCCATCCTAGCTCTGGGGATAAAAGGCAGGGGGCAGAGAGGAATAGATGTGGGAGAAACTATTCATCTCCTGCCTGGCCAGACTTGTTAGCCTGTGGTTTTGCTGGGGCTGCTGGGGCTCCTAATAAAGGAATCTTTGAATTAACTTCAGAGGGTTTGTCGTGTTTGGGGAACTGGGTCAGAACAGTATCTCTACAAATTTCAATCTAAGATGGTTAACAACTTTTCTGAAAAATCTGGACTAAAAAATGTAGAGATGCTGGTTTTAATTTGTTACTTCATTACTTCAAGAAGATTTCTGGGAAATACTGTCCTGAAATCAAGCAACAGCAGTCCAACAGCATCTGACTCAATTCTATTTGAAGATCTTCAACATCTAGATTACTAGGAAAATATCACAGGGTTCTCTGAATTTTCTACATTTATCTGTCCATAAATTTACTTTTATTTCTAAAGACAGGTAAATGCAGAAAATTCAGTGGAACCAGTGGTCCCTACATTACTTTTCTAGTAATCTACATATTGGATAATTTGGAACATATTTGAGTCAGATCACACCTTGAAGTACAAATCAAATCAACTGGACATCAAAATAATAGCTTCTTAGACTTCCTGAGCAATTGTTAAACAGATGATAAACATACTTGATTAATGTGTGTCTTTTGTTTATCAATCCAAAGTAGAACTTTGTATATTTCAACCCAGTGAAAGATAGGCTTAGGCTGCTACCAGTATTTCCTATATTCTGCCATTAATATATGTGAACAAAAGTTTCACAATTCCCTTGCATTAGATAGCCAAGCACTGTCTGCAGTGAAAATAAGAAAGACAGTGTCTTTTCTTATTCATTATAAAAACTGTAACATTATCAGCTTTATACCATTTCTCACCTTCCATTGATTCAGATTCTTCTATGCAAGAAAGTAAGTACAAAGATATTAAATGAGAGTAATAATAATCAAACTTAGTGTACCTACTTAGGATGTCGGATATCTGGCAGTGATCGTTCCAAGGCTATATTGTTGCTTACAAAAATATTGAAACCATTTTCCCGATAAGCAGAATCATCACTGTCTTCCTCTGTGACAGGATATGGCTTTCCTTGTTCACCTTTCCCTGAAATAGTATTAAATCAAAATGTGATCAGGGATGAATAAGATCTCAGAAACAGTTAGCAGTTTTTCTGTAAATTAAAATGTGGCAAATCTGTGCCGAGTCAAACATGAACTTGACAATTCTCAAGCTGTCATTCTTAAGGTGAATCCCCCATAAGCAGGAAAGTAAGGAATGAAAAGCAGGAATTTTGACCTACCATATTAAGACATATTTTTACACAGAAGTATTGTCACGATTTGTCTGTGTTTTTATTATTGTTATTTTTCATAGATACAACTGTTCAATCAAAGCTGAAGCATTTTGTGACATTAAAAAAATATTGTAAAACTGTGTGTGTATGGATTTATGCACACATTACATACACACACACATACTAATGGATAGAAAAAGCAACAGAATTTTGGTGTAATCTCTGTTTTATTACAGTCTTGAAATATACCAGGGATGTCAAACTCACATCGTCATGGCAGTGTCATGTGAGTATAGGGACTCTCCCCCCTTTATTAAACCAGGAATGGGCATGTGATGCATCTGGCCCACGGGCCAGGAGTTTGACAGCCCTGAAATATACTGTACAGTATTCTAAAGCCATAAGGTTAAGTTCATTGAAAGAAGTTTTGCTCTAGTAGTTATCAATGTTAAATCCTTACTGGAAAGGTGGAACTCTTATTTTTGTATTTAATGTATAGAATTAGAAAAGAGTCAGAGTGGACCAACCATTTATATGGATACAAGGTAGGTATGGCTACTTTAAGAAATGTGGAACTGGCCACAAATGTGATCAGAAAAGTTTTCCTTCCAAAGTGTTAAGAAAAATACAGAAGTTGATCAATTAATATGATTAAAACTACTTTCCTATAACTAGTCACTTGTTTTATCAATCGATTCAAGCAGTTTACTACAGTCTTAGACCAGAGACCTGTTTTATCAAGGAAAAGAATGGATAATACATGTACTTTAGTAGCAAAATAGCACCTTATTTTAAAATTATAGCCATTGTGGGTTGCTCCCAGTTCGCACCGGTAGAACCGGTAGTAATGACTGGCTGGCCAAACCCCCAAACCGGTCCCCCGGTCACTGCTCACTCGCCCTGGCCGCCATGTTTGTCGCTGCCATGTTCTTTGCGCACATGCATCCCATTGCTTTGTAAGTCCATGTTGTGACTCCGACCCCCAAGCCCATCTTATCGGAGGGAGAAGACTCCGAAAGTGAAGGAGAGGAGTTGGCAAGGCCTCCCTCTCCAGGACCCTCCTCTCTGGCAATGCCTCAGGTGTCTTCCGAAGGAGAAGAAATAGGCCAGGAGCCAGGCACTTCCGAGCAGCCGCAGTTAGACAGCAACGGAGATAAGTCTTGGCTGGATCCTCGACAGCGTTGGAAAGACAAGTGCACGCAGCAGAGAAGGAGGCGTGCCAGAGATTAAGCTGAGCCACTGGACCACACCCCACAGGGGATAAAAGGGAGTGTGGTGGCCATTTAGGCTTTATGACAGACAAAATGGAAAGCTAGCAAGTCATTCTGCATTTCTGGAACTTTGTTATATGCTCTGCTTGGACTGATTTTTTGGACTGGACTTGACTATTCTTTGGCTTTTGTGGACTTTGATGTTTTTGGTCAGAGGAGATAAACCGCCCTTTGGAAGTAAAGACTATTGGCAAGCAACCACTGGGTTGCTGCCAATTTTGTTATCAAAGGAAATTCTTGTCTGCTGGTTTATTTTAACTCTTGGTCGACTGCTGGTGTGCATGTGTGAGACGGGGACAGAACAGTCCAATGGGATGCGCGTGTGTGAAGAACATGGCGATGACGGCAGCAGCTTTTCATACCAGTACTTTTTGGTGGCCTGAGGAGAAAGCAGCTGTCTGGGAGCCGCAGAAAACTTGGGTCAGCTTGCCTTCCTGACTCTGGACCAGCCGCCGTGGAAGGTAAGCAGCCGAACAAAGAGGCAGTGGTGGGGAGGAAGGCAGGCAAGCGGGCCTGGCCAGGAAGGCAGGCAAGCATGTCGGGGCCACCCGGCTAGCTAGCTCCCTTCCCCATGGCCCTGCCATGCTTGCCTGCCTTCCAGCCCGGCCAATGGGTGGGCAGGTAGCCCTTCGGGGAGACGGAGCACTGCACTGGAGCTGAGAGGGGTGGTGGCAGCAGCGGTGCTGTGGGAGGGCGGGCAGAGATCCCAGGGCTGCTGCACATGTGCACTGCATGTGAAGGGAGGCAGACACCCCCCTCTGAGGAAAAGAGGCAGCGGCGAAGCCCTGGCTGTAACCCGGGAAAGGACCGTGCAGGGACACACCACACACAAATGCTGCTGCCGCTTCTTTTGCTGTCGGCTTCTTGTCACTCTTAAAGTCGATCATGAAGAGCTGGAAGACTTATCCTTAGATTTCCGCCAAACTCATTGTTGGAGTGTCAGCGATCTAAGAAAATGTCTTGCAGCTCTTCACGAATGACTTTAAGAGTGGCAAGAAGCTGAAAGCAAAAGAAGCAGCAGCAGAGGCGACAGGGGCATGTGTGACCATCCAGAGTCCTCTCCCGGGTGACAGCCAGGGCTTCACCGCCGCTTCTTTATCTCAGAGGAGCAGTGTCTGCCTCCAAGTCCTTGCGGAGGGACACACACACACATGCCCATCGCCTCCGCTGCTGCTTCTTTTTATCATGAAGAGCTGGAAGACGTTTCCTTAGATCTCCGCCAAACTCATTGTTGGAGCAAAATGTGGCAGCCATGAGCTGTGCTTTCCTCCAAGTCTCATCTGAAAAGCTCTGTGCAGGGAGAAGCACCTGTTTCCCTCTACTGCCCACAGCACTTAGAGGAAAACACGGCTCATGGCTGCTAAATTTCACTGTGCTGTGCCAAATGCTTTCCCATAAAGAACAGAAAAGGAGAGAAACAGCCACTGACCTGGAGAACACATGGACTGGAGCTGCTCTGTGTGCTCTCCACTTGCTGTTTCTTCCCCTTTGCTAGTGCAGCACAGTGAAATGTAGCAGCCATGAGCTGCACTTTCGTCCAAGTCAAATCCAGAAAGATCTGGCTGGGAGGGGTGCCTCTGTCCACCGGTTCAGGGCAGCGGGCTCAGCTACATCCCAGAAGAGCCAAAGAACTGCAGGGAGCTTCCTGTGTGTTGCACCCCCCCTCCCAGCCTTCGCCTGCACCTCCGTGTCTCCAGCGTCTCCTGAAGCCACCACCGTTGGAGCTGGGACAGGGATGGGGGCAGCCCAGTAAGCTGGGCGCCCGAAAACAGCGGTGAGACCCGGGCGAATGCTGGGAGGGGGGTGCAACATGCGGGAGGCTCCCCGCAGTTCCTCAGCTTGTCTGGGCTGCAGCTGAGTCCGCTGCCCTGAGCTGGCAGAGGCCACGCAGGGCGTGGCTGGGAGCATGCTAACCTTGCCATCCCCGAGTGTCAAATTCTGGCCCTGGCCTGCCTAGCTTGACCCCAGCTGGCTCCACGCTCATGCAGGCTCGCATGAGCGTGGTTCTCCAGGAGCTCAGCAACAACAACACCAAAAAGTTCTCCGGCCGGCCGGTGAGAAGGAAGCTCCAGGAGCTCGGCAACAACAACGCCAAAAAGTTCTCCAGTCGGCCGGCGAGAAGGAAGCTCCTTCGTGCTTTCCCTCCATTGCCCTTCTCGGCTGAAAAGCCATGGCTGGCGGGCTGTGGAAACAGGGTCACCCCCTTAACTGGGGGGCCTGGGCGCATCCTCAGTGAAGCTGCCCCTGAGATCCAGAGGAAAGCCTTTCTCTTGCATGCTCATCTCGCATACAGGACCCGGCCAGCAGGAGTGGGGTGCTCTGGCTGCAACCATGAGGAAGGCCTGTCAGAGGTGAGAAGGGGCACTTTTTGGCCAGGAAGGGCAATGGAAGGAAAGCCAAGACAACAACCACCACCCCACCGCGTCCTGACTTGAATATGGAGCTGGAGTGTCAAAAAAAAAATGACAAAAAGTCCCAAAAACTTTTGCCGTTTCGGTGGGCGTGGCTTGGCGGGGGGGTCATGTGACTGAGTGCGTGAGTGATGTCAAGTTGGCCACACCCACTCAGTCATGCCCCCCCACCTAGCCACACCCACAGAACCGGTAGTAAAAATTTTTAGAACCCACCACTGATTGTAAGCCAGAGTCACCTAACAAGATGGACAGCATATACATTTAATAATTTAAAAAATTAGTTGACATCAACTTTTTAATAAGCCATTTGAAGAAGCAGTGAAAGATAATGCATCCAGCCAAAGTCTATGCCATAGCAATGATGATAAAAAAACATTGGATTTGAACATAACATAGGCATATTTTATTTCAGCTTTGAATAAGCTTTTATTTTGGATTTTTTTCTCCTTTTTTTCAATCATGTCCAAGATTGACTGGACCAGTTCCTGCATCTTTCTTGCCAATGATTTTTTAGAAATGGTTTGCTGTTGCCTCTTTACAAGAGTTGAGAGAAAGCAACTGGGCTAAGGTCATCCAGCTAGTTTTGTGCTTAAAGTGGGACTAGAACTCATGGGCCCCCAGTTTCTAGCCTCATGTCTTAACCATTACATTAGACTTGCTCTCTTATTTTGGATACTTGCATGTTAATTTTGCTTGCTTGCTTTCTCTTTTCTTATGAATGTAAATTATTTAATAATTAAAGACAATGGATCCTGATTCACACTCTTTTCTTAGATATGTCTTTCTGGCTCAATTTATCCTAAAATATTTCATTGCTTAATTGTATTAACTGCAATGTTTACTTTAGATAAAGATAATAATTGTTTTGAAAGATGAGACTGGCAGGATTGGCGCTGGAGATCATAAAAGGAAAATGGAAGAAAACAATGGAGTGTAACATAGCAGATGTCTGAATTGTCTAAAGCGGCAAACATAGATTCTGGTACCATGGTACCATAGCCAAATTTATTAGCTAAACTTGATAATTAAATGATGATGATGATGATGATGATAATGATGATGATGATGATGATGATGATTTTTGTGGTTTCAAGTCATGTTAACCTGAAGGTTTCAAGTCATGTT